TAAATGATTACCAATACTATTTTGGGCGGTTCCTTATTGTGATTATCGTATAATGCACCCCAAAAACCTATTCAAACTATTGAGGCCCCTAGCCCCTACATTATCCCAGTGTATGCTTATGGTGCTTTTTTGGGGGGCCCATTCAGAAGATCCAGCTTCGCTGCCGAGGGACATCCAGCTGCAAAGTCGCATTGGGATCAAGCCAAGGGAAGTCTGGAAGCGGCGGCAGCTGGAAGTCCATTGCAGATGAGACCGGCGGAGCCTCAAGAACGTGTTGAAACACTTGTTGTGTGCGGTTAACGGTTAAGCCCCGCATCCAAACACTCGATCCCCATCATGACATTGCACTGAGAAACGCTGAGCCCCAACTGCTGCACTTGCCCTTTGATTATGGCCCGACTAGCCCACGGTGCAACATTCGTGCTATTCAGCCCTGCCGCCGGCTGCGACAAGGCAGGTGGAACCAAAGGCGATGATGACATCCGCGAAACGAGCTGGCGTGGCTGCGAGCTCCTGGAAGCCTTCACGCGGAGGCACTCTCGAAGTTGGAACGTAAATAGGTCAAGGCTTCGGCGTTTTTGCGCTTTAAAGGCCAAGACAGCCGGGGGTCCTGAGCTGTAGCGATCTAGAAACCCAAGAACAACACACCCGAAAACTGAAACAACACGAAATGCAATTTCAATTGCGGCTACAGCCGTAAGTAGACCCACAGTGGTAGACTCATGCGCCTGCTTTTGGGACTTTAATACATCGAAACATCATTATCTAGCTTCCCTACCTTTTACTAAGTAAAACTCCCCAAAACCTAATTTAACCTAACCCAGACTTCCAATACGCGGTAATAAAGTTTCGTTCGTTGCATCCGCTAGAGACACTAAACGGAGCACGACGGGAGTACAGGGAGTGAGGAATACCCTAGCCTGGCTGGCGAAGGAACCATTATCCGGGAATGAAGTCATAGTACAAAAATTGCTCCGGCCGGAGGACTTGTGGAGAAGTCTGCGGGGGAAAGGGGTCTCGGACCGGTTGGTTGTACGTGAACAACACAGAGTGCGACGAACTTTGGGATCGGCGCAGTATTCCTTAACTAACCCTAACCCCCCAGGTACCTAGAGCCCCTAGGGCCCTATATAGTAGGTACCTGGAGGGTTAGGGAAGATCACCCCTCAATGCCAGCCTGTCGCGGTAAGGGTTCCCCAGCGGAGCTCGCGCAGGGCGAGACGGCCGGTAGTGACGAGGCCAAGTCCAAGGAGGCCTTCTGGTCTGTTGCATGAAGTTAACTAGGGTGCGGGGCTAAGGGATTTGAAGTTTAGGGTTACATAGGCTTTAGGCTATCCGGGTTCCGTCTTCAGGGTTCAGGGTTTGCTTCGTTTTTTTCAACAGGTGCGCCGTCGTCATGGCTAAGATCATTGCTGTCTGTAATGCACTGCTATGTCTCGGACACTTTTCTGAGTCGCCGATAAAAGGCTTCAGTTTTCGCCCTTGCACTTGAACTTGATGGCAGTATGTTGTCCACCTCCCTTGCAACGAGCATGCAACCACGAAGTAAAACAGGAGAGAGAGTGAAAGCAGGGGCATGAGAAGAAAAGCCATAGGGTAAGAAATTAATCGTAGGGGCGCCCAGAAAAATGAAAGGGAACAGCAACAACTACTGCGCAGTACCGTAACTACATAAACACAACTGCAGCTTTTCCGTCGGCGGCTTCTGATGCTTCCTGTGGCACTACTATTGCTGCTGCTATTGCCGCTACGCCTGCTGTAACAACAAGAACAAGAACAAGATAATGCGTAACAGCCATGTCATAGCATAATGCTAGCGTAATTACTAGCTTCATAGCCACGACTGCTACTTCGTCAGCTGTTGCTGCTGCCTCCGCGAGAAGCAACAACACCAGCAACAGTAACAGCAACTGTAACAGCAACAACAACAGCAAGAGCAACCGCAACAGCAACAGCAACAGAAACAACAACAACCAAGAACAGTAACAATAACAAGAAAACTACCACTACTGCTACTGCTTCTGTTCCTGCAACTGCTACTGCGACTGCAACTGCCACTACGAGTACTACTACCAGTACCACTATTATGACCACCGCTGTTACCACTACACTGACCAATACCAATACTATTTCCAGCACAACTGACACTACCTACTAAATCTACTACATCTACTACTTCTACATCATCTAATACTGCAGCTACTGCCACCATCAACACCACGACCAACACCACAACTGCCTCTGATGCTACTACTGCTACTGCTACTGTGGAAAATTCGCTTGACACTGTTGCGATGGCGATAGTTGTTGCTTTTGGGTTTTTGGGAGTACTGACCAACGGACCATCAAGACTTCTCAAGTCTTATCGCCATCAGCCAGTACAAACTTCTCCCGATACTACTGCTTGCACTGGTACTTAGTAGCACGACTTCCAGACTCCTAGATGGACTCCGATAGGGTTTAGGGTTTAGGGTTTAGGGGTTTAGGGTTTAGGGTTTAGGGTTTAGGGTTTAGGGTTTAGGGCCGACTCATACAGTGGGCTCTTCGCCATCAGTGCCAAGGGGCTACACCCCTAAACCCCACACCCTAAACCTTAAACCCTACTACACCCTCAACCCTACACCCTAAACCCTGAACCCTACACCCTAAACCTTAGACCCTAAACTCTGAACCCTACACCCTAAACCTTAGATTTTAAACCCCACACCCTAAACCTTAAACCCTACACCCTGAACCTTAGACCCTACACCCTAAACCTTAAACCCTACACCCTAAACCCTTGACCCCTACACCCTAAACCTTAGACCCTAAAACTTACACCCTAAACCTTCAACCCTACACGCTAAAACCTAATCCGACACCCTTCAGACCTGTGGCTCCACTTCAACCCTAAGCCTACGAAATCAGGCCAAAGGCTCCAAACTCGAAGTAGGAATGCAACAGTAGTGTTATTATAGCATGTTGTAGCAGGTTATGGCATAGTATAGAATATTATATTACGTGCAATGCTTGATAGTATGTTATCGTGTGTTAATAAAAATATCATGACATATTTTCGACTTGTAGCCTATGTAGTCTGATTGCACCCTGTAGACCTTGAAATCCGGAAATTCCACACCGTAAACTTCTAGCTTTGGCGGGTCGCGGCCGGAATGTTCTGACCGCCAGCCCCGGTCGGAAACATGACCTTTGATTGCTTTTGGGTTTTTGTGTTTTGGGTTTAGGAGTGCTTCCAGTGCCTCTTGTATGGCGTGTAAGGCGCTTGAAAAGTGTTTCAAGTCTCTCAGAACTGGAGGTGGCTTATGTCGAGCCTTGTAGTGTCTTTGCAAGGCCGTGTCTGTAGAGGGATTTGCAAGGGCTTCTGATGCTTTTAGACTAACTCGGAGAAAGCTACGACACTAATCATCTTGAACCCATGTAGAGCTCACAGTCGCAGCTGAAAGGTGCTGAAGAGGTGTAGGTGTGGCCTTGGGGAGTCTTGTAGCTTCACCGAGTGTTATGTGCTCGCTTACTCATGCAGGGTTTTGCGGACTGAGTGCTTCAGGATTGTGGGTGCTCAGCGGTTTCGGATTTGAGGCTGTGCGGGGAGGGAGTGAGAGAGCGAGAGAGACAGACAGAGACTGAGACAGACAGAGAAAGAAGAGTATGTGGTGAAAAGTGTGTGTGTGTGTGTGTGTGTGTGCGTGTGTGTGTATATATATATATACACATAACATATATATATATATATATGTATACACATGTATTATTTATTTATATATATATATATATATATACATACAAATATATACATACATATATACATATACACACATTGTAGACATATTTCTACACACACACACACACACATATATATATATATATATATTACATATTACATGTATACACACACACACACGAATGTGTGCATGCTGTTGCTTCCTTGGGGCAAGGAGGGGGGAGTTGGGATGTCAGTGCTCGGTCAGAGGGAATGGGAAGAGTGCATGCTTGGGTCAAGAGTGACTGCTTAGCTACCCATCTGAAGGTGAGGTTACGAGCCGCAAGCCCCAAACCCCCAAGCCCAAAATCAAAAGGGTGCCAAAAACACTGAGCGATGAAGCATTAGGATCGAAAGGTTTAGTCAGAGCCTGACTGATGTCTCGAAGCACGAAACGCAAAACAACAAACGCGAACTGCAGCGTCTGAAGCAGAACTGTCCTTGCCAGCGGTACGTCGGAGATCAAGGCTTGGGGACTCAGCTTCCTTAAGCCCTGAGCCAAGATGCCCTCAACCCGAGAGGGTTTAGGGTTTAAGAGTCTTGAGTTTAGGAAGCCCTCAACCCCCATAAGCCCTAAACTTTAGGGTTTACAGGGTTTAAGGGCTCAGGGTTTAGGGTTGGCCCTGAACCCTAGACCCCAAGCCCTACGATGCCCTCAACCGGCCTGCAGAAAGGGGTTCGGTGTTGATGGGGTCGTAGTCGCGTTGGGCACCGACTCGACCTCAAACGGTTCATACAGCGGCGTGGCTAGTTGCAATGTTGGGCTTAGGGTTTAGGCTTTTTAGGCTTCATGTTACAGTTTACTGAAATATACATAACCATTTCGAAACACCAAGATGAGGCTACTCAGCAAAGACATCGAAGGGTCTCACAGCAACACTTCCAGCCATCTCACCAAACCATACAAAGACTGCCATCATGGATCCAAACCCTGAAGAACCCGAAGACTTGAAAACCCTGAAACCCCTAAACCCTAAACCCGAAACCCCAAAAAACAACTTGAAGCCCGAAACAGTCTTAACCAAAAGCACTGTAGCTCCTCCCTCATCCCTAAACCCTTGTAAACCCAGTCTTAAGCCCTAAACACCCAGACCCTGAAACCCTGAAATGGACCAGAGACCTTCACGACCAAGAAGCTGCCCCCCCATATACTATGATATACCTATTACAGCATAAGACATAATATAATATAATAAAATAAAATTATAATATTATAAAATAAAATATAATTTAATATATTATAATATATTATAATATAATAT